TCGGTAACCTTAGCCCCGGGACCTGAAGTAATGAACTACATAAGGCCCCAGTAAGAAGGGGTGGTGTAGAGCCGGACGAGATCAACGCTAGTTATTAACAAATTACCGGATAGACAGATCATACAATGCTCTGCTCAAAGTTAAGACTAAGCAGCAGATGGATGAGTCAACTGTTGGTGAAATGCGGACAGAACAGGTTCGGTTCTGCTTTCCGAACGAGCAGCATACGTGATGAAACAGTCCCGTGTGAATGGGACAACTGATAGCGATACAAACTTCATTCGACTTGAATACCAAGATAACCAGTATTAGATGATTGATCACTTTTCAGGTCTTTCTCCTTCCCCTCGTCTGTTGATTTCGGGAGAAACAAACGCAAAATTTAAGCATCCACACAGAATGAATATGAACTGTGGAGTGAAACCTAAACCAGGACAAAGAAAGATACAGAGACACTGTGTTAGTGAATTAGCATGAGGTTAAAATAAGGAGATATTTCAATTGAATTTAGTTCATTCCTCATTCACAAAACAATTTTCCAGGAAACCGACGGCACCTGGAACCCCGCATGTACACAAAGAATGCCATAAAAGAACAACAGAACACTCAAGTCAGACAATCTTAACTTTGCCATCAAGATAGACAATATTCAATCAATTTTTAGAGAATGGAAAGGGTCAGATAAAGGGTTGCTATGACTCGCAAATAAGCGGGGAAAGCATATTTGCGATACGCATCTCTGTGATGATGACTGACAAACAGCGCTGGGACAGGTGTTTCGTCATTGTTGGGACTAGACGGCAAAGCGTGCTTTTGTACCCCTCTCGGGACTAGAGCTGCCAAAGTGGGAAATTTATTCGGAATTCTTGAAATTCGAACATATATTTCAGCCTACATATAGGGTATATATATATATATAACATCCGTGCAACAACATGAGTCTACAGAACCTGATTGGAATGAATAAACTACATTGTTGAGCGAGCTTACAGTACAACTATTTCAGCTTGCTTTGCACAATGGGTGCGCACATACGCACAAACACACACACACAAACGAATTATAACCCTTATTGAAATCAATTCACACCGGGGACCGTGACCGGAAGCTATGTGAGTGGCCTGTGAATGCATGATTCATGCCTGACCGCCTAGTGATTGATGCATCGAACAACTCATATCGAAAGGTCGAATGCCTTTACTGAGGACGGTAATCACCATCGCTATTCATCGAACGCCCGCACACACACACACACACACACACACACACACACACACACACACACACAGAGTTCGGCAAACGGATTACGGCTGATGGTGCCAGTGTGAGTGGTGAGCTGAGCAGGCCGCGGATTTGTGAAAGTGAGTCTAACAAAGGTTTAATAAATGAGCATGGCCTAAATTGGGGCTATGTGTATGCGCGTGCGGGCACGTTTGTGTAAATCTGGTTATATTTGAGACCAAATGCATCCGCATGGTTCCAAACAAGGCCGAGCGCGATGAAAGTGAGGGAGAGTGGTTTGGCAATCAGGATCGAGCAAACATTGCCAGGTTTGTCCAGGCAGTCCAAAGAAGATGACAAAGGAATCGAGTGTTTGTGAAAACTAACATTCATACCCTGCCTTATAACAGAGACCATGGACTTATGTAGTGGGCTTACAGTCACATGATAACGCACACACGAAATGGGGGAAGGGACGGAAAATATAAATCGTAATATTTGAATCATGGACACAGAGATGGAGCTGCTAATTGATCATTCAATTGAATGTATCGCTCGAAAGAGTGCGTCTATGTATGGGTACAGCTATGGTACTGTTAAGAATGTGCCTTGCATCTTCCAAATGCAAAGTGGAGAATCCGGAGTGGATACGAATACTTTTATTGTAAATACTCAAGATCACAAGTTGGTTGATGTTATGCACCTTTGTTACCGGGAGAAAAGCGGGTCATTCTATGCTAACACATCGACAAGGATGATCAAGGCTCAAAGAGATTGATTAGTGACGACGTCACCGCTTTTCCAGATGCAGTCAATTTTAGTGTAGTCGTAGGGCATGGATTAAACGCACGACAGATATTATCTGAGCGAAGATCTTCTATCACTGGTTTGCGCACAAAGTACACTGAGTGAGCCAGCATCGCTGAGGCAAACAGTCGCACCTTTGGCAGGAATAACTTTCAGGGGATCATCTAACAGGATATCGAGTCAGCTCTGATAAATATCTGTTTGTCGTATCGGACTGATGAAAAATGAAAGTAACTAACAGTAGTAGAACGAATGCATGAATAAACGGGGCTGGGGGAAGTTCAAGTAGTTCTCAATAATCCATATGAGTTCCAAAGGATTCTAGTTAGTTCAGGTTGTGAAGGACAAGGAGCATGAGAGCACTGCACGGAGAATGGGCATAGGCAAGAGAATCATCATTGACAATGCTTACCCGTATCATCTGATATGTGCAACCTGGAACGGAAAAGCTCGCAGTGGTAGCAACATTGTAGCTATCATTGAGATTGTTTAGAGTAATGTGCATACCTGAACAGACTGCCTGCTGAGCTCTGGCCACAGAGATTCCGTTTTTGTTCAACCCCTCGACACCGGTACACTTCCTGTCTACTTCACATTCTCATTCATATTTGACTCAGATGAGAAAGAGGTTGGTGGTATACGGTGAAGTTCACACCACCATATTCCAGAGTGTGACGATAATTATAATGATCAGAGTAACTTTGCTCAAAGACAGCATATCTAACGGTTGGATTAGATTAGGAGTAACGTCCGTTTAGGCGGATGAAGCATCAGACAAAAGCTTGGCACTACTAACGGCAATCCGACTGATCGATGAAATTCGCCCTCAATGCTTTCAAGATAGAATTAAGCCTCGGTTGAAACATTTAGAAAAGGTCCACACAAATTGCAGTCAGTCTACGCTCATTCTGTGCGGTGCTGACCACTGCTCTGAATGGGTAAACCATATGTGCACAATTCGTTCCACAGCGCGCTTTAGGTACCGACTTGACCCCCGAAACCATATGCGCCCTTTACCAATCTCTGGGTGCCGACAACACGAGAGACAGAGCATCCCAATAGAATTCTCGCTTTTTGTTGTTGTTTTGTTTTGGGTTTTCTTTTCAATCTAACCAAACACAATTCAAGTGCACGTTCAGCGACGGTTCGAACAACGCTGATTTATCTTTCTGATCATAGGGCCGTTTTGCCTGTTTATCAGACAGCCTACTTGCTGACCACACATGTGTCAAGACCGAAAATCTATTTGTCAATCAGATACCAATAAGCGGCACTGACAGAAAATACGGGGAGACACACAGTTACGTGTACAGATAAGAACCCATTTTCAATTAGCTGCTCTCAGTGGGTGTATACTCCAGGTCACAGAGTATGTAAACAGAAACGAGGTCATTTCGAAGAATAAGCGCTAGATCGAATCGGAAGACATCAACCAAAATGGGATAAACATACCAAGGTGACCCACGGCCAAAAGGTAGTGGGGGGGAGTGGTGTGCAACCATGATCTTCATAATTGTTCCCAATCAATAAGATGATAGACCGAAGACACTCAAATGATCCGGTTTAGATACAGTTTGGAACGGAGACAGTGCTCCACAGATTAGTTACCGTTTGCCCAGAATTCAGTATTTACGTGTATCTTTATGACAAGCATGAGGAATGGAGGATAGCATCGTTGGATTCGAAATAGGAGACGGCAAGAGAATACCGTTTCAGGGTTTACAACCTTTAACAATGCGCTCTCGTGTCCCACTTTTGGTTAACCTTTTGAATGGAAGACCAGAAGGATTAATGGAAGATTGGGAGGAGAGTCAAAAAAGAAAAAGAATTCATATAGACTGGAGTTGAAAGGATAAATAGTAGATGCACGAGTGTCACTGTTTGCGAAACTCAGCCAATTCACTCAGTGTCTCTAACCGCCGGTTAACCTGATCTCGAGGAGCTTATCACGACCTAAATGACCGAGCCTCCTGGCTCGGGTTTTCATACCCCCATACTAGGTGTTTGTTTGACCATCTTTGACTTTTTCCATCCATTACCTGCCGCAGAAAAAATCGCGCGCCGTGGCAATTTAGCTGGTGACATTCATGACACATGTCCCCTCCCAGGGCAGTCTATGGAGGTCGACCGCTTGCTCTGTGCTTTTGAGTTCATTCGTAACGTGGCGTGGTAACGATATACTGTAATATATAGTATACTGTACGCAATATCATGTTTATCAATGAATTACAGTCAAATTCACAATCCTCAAATATTATATCAAAAGGCCTTTGATGTCAAGGGTATTTGGTGTTTACTGATGCGCAATCGTCTGTTTACATTTGACAGACTTTGTGACCAAAAAATACAAGAGAAATAAGCATCAGTAAGAAGATCAACCGAGAACACAGCAAAGGTCAAATATCTTTGCCTCGACTGCAGAAGCAGTGAGACGGGAACATCGTTGCTTCATCCGAAAGAAAATCATAGATCGGGATCACTTGAATTAATTATTGGTCAATGGGAGAAGGCAGAACAATGCCAGTTCTTATTACTCCAAGTTGATTGTGGGTTCAGTGAGAGAACGCGTTTGTTTAAGCCTAGTGTTTCATCAACAGAAAATTAGTCTAGCGGTATTTGACATTTTGCGGGGGGAAGGGCTTTGAGGTGACTCAACTATCCCCTAGTTGAAGCTACTCACAGAACGTTTCGGGTGATCTGCCTTTTGACTGTGAGTAAAACTCTGATGATGTGCATCATACAAAATGATCTATTCGTGTGTGTAGTGAGAAGCAAATAGAAAAGAAACAAAATTATGTTTCCGTTTTGATGTGAAACAGTTTTGAATGATCTCGAGTGAACGAAAACCGCATTAGTGCCTGGTGTGTCTAATGGTTTTATCGTGTCAGATAAATAAACGCGGATTTACGGGGTCCGTTTCAGACAAAAATAAACAGTGATACAGGCGTTACAACAAGCCAGGATTTTGTAGCTCAAGTGAAATTAGACCGTAGTAGCCAGTCTGGCAAAAGACATCGCTTTTCTTGTAAACAATGAACATCAGACACACAGACATATTGGGTTAATGAACCATTTGCAAAAATGAAAACCTTTCTCGACAACGGGCTCAGGTCACCAACATGACTTGGCGGAAACGGTGTGCCGCGTGTACACAAAAGCACCGAGTGATCTACCCAGGAACTAAACGAGAGCCTGTCATGTCTCCAGGTTGAAATACACAAGTCGGTGACTAGACAGAATGAAACACATCAATGGGAATACTGGTGACCCAAAATTTGGGTTTAGATCGTCCCTACAGGTAGTCAGTCCAAAGCATATTGCCAACAGGACAAGATAAGCTGATACTGCCCCGAGTTCACTAGAATCACATACGATCGTCTAACAGAGATTGCAAAATGGTTGAAATATATCAAACAACTCACACACACACAGCTCGTGCGATCAATTAGGATCCCAAAGCAGTTCAGAAGAAAAATATTGTGACCATTTATCCAACAACTAAAATGACCTATGAAGTTTACCCGACATGATGACGCTGAAGAATAATTAATCGGTGGTTCTACCATTAATCTATCGTAGCACGGTCAGAGAGGTAAAAAAGTGCTGTATAACTACAGTTTGGTTGTGTGCAACATGAAATTAGTCTATCAACTGGTACGGTCTAGGTTCAAATGCCACAGGTTTCTCAGAATTCAAGAGCCAATTAAAACGGTCGAATGAGCAATGAACAAACACACCCCGATGATATCTTCCCGAAACCTAGTGGGCAAATTAGTTCGCATTCATAAAGTCAGATTTTGCCCTCGTTCAGTCAAACTTATTTCAAATAACTGCGGGAATACTATCATTCTCTTTCTTTTTTACTTCCCTTTATTGAATATATAATGATACAGTTTCCAGGGAGAGGAAGCGGCCAATCAAACAGGGCTGCCATACCACGCACAGAGAATGGGGAAGTTAGGTCTTGGTGCTGGTGATGTTCGACAAACAAGTAATCTGGGACGATAAAGTTTTGAGCTGTAACCACTGGGCCACTAGCGGGACCATTGCTACTTCTACAATATCCTTCAGGTGGTAAACTTAACTGGCAAGCTAAAACCAAACGTTGTGTGAGTGGAAGAACAACAAAGTTGAAAAAAGCCCTAGGAAAGGCTTGGCTATTTTAGTCCCGGGCCCATCACTGCAGGAAATACGGCGCACTCAAAACAGAATTTTGAGATTTTAGTAATCTGTGAAGTTCTATCATAGATAGCATCATAGAGAAATCGTTTCCACTTTGAAAGAAATGATGACCCTGACCCGGGGAACAGTAGTGACATGTCGAGGCCTTTACTAACTTCTACACGGTAAAAATACATACCAACCAACCCTTACGCACAAAAACGGTAGAAAATATGTAAACCTCAACCCCCCCCCCCCTCGTTTAATCAAGTTATTCACTAACCGTGCAATAGGCGGTGC